CTGAGCATAGAGGGTCTATACCCTATAACAATTTTACATGAGATAAAATTGAATTGTATTTATTTGGTGTATACACTCTGAAGAAGACTTATTTTCAGTTGGGTCCTTCTAGTAATAACTGAGCAAAAACAATCCCTAAAGCCGGTTACTCACTGCATGTGACGGCGATGCGACGAGTAACGCACGCAAAGACACAGACCGGAACAGATTGTCTTTTTAATGATGATCTGTTCAGATTGCTACTGACAATCAGTAGAGTGAGTGTTCGGCTTTACTCTTTTCTAGAGAGTGTACTGCATTCTTTAACATGCACATTTAACGTGTCATGTGACCCCTTAATAGGGGTACTCCTATTAAGGGAACACTTTTCTTTGATGCTGAAGGTATCCCTAATAGGGATTCTACTGTATTTTAAATTTAACTTGTGGGAGCTGTGTACCAAATAATAGACTCTTAATTAATTTATGACTCAACTCCTGAAAATAGAAAACTTACCTGCTGGAGGTGTTTCGCATGTTGCTTTGTCTGATTCTGGTCCATCTGATATTGTTGTACCTAATACTCTTACAGTGTACACTGAATAAGGGGTATTTGCCGGAATATCCAATGTTAGACTATTAACATTCTCGGTTTGCATACTGTCCTCATCGTCAATATGCTCTTGATTATCTTGAGGGGCTATAGTGTAATTAGCCTGTAATCATAAAAAAAAGTTGCTGTGACAATAAATATACAATCAATAATAAAATGTTAATACGAATTGAATTGCTTTTTGGGTTTTCTTTTTATTTTGTTTTCTTTTCTATTTTGCTCTAGGGTTTCAAAGACACTTTCTATAGTTCAAACGGATTCTGTATGCCCAGCAATACTAAAGCCACCAAATGGTAGAACACATAAAACAAATGCATGCATAATCAATACTTGACTATTGAAATTCTTATTTATCTGATTTTAAAGTGACAAAGTTAGATTCAGAAGCAAACAGGTAATGTTCAAGGCTTTTGAACTTAGCAGGAGGTACTCCAGGAGCTTCTCTGCAAACATGGAACGCAAGAAGGAAGTTATTTCTACGATGTGCTCAGTGAACCTGTGTCAAACAGGTGGTGCCTATGGAGATTCTGAAGCAAAGAAGATTTGATCAAGGGAGATGTACTTTTTGAAGCAAACAAGGTGTTCAAGTACAATCTGAGACAAACTGGAGATAGTTGGGGAGGACATGCTTTCCGAAGTAAACTAGAGGTGCTCAAGTACCATTCGAGACAAACAGGAGATGATCAGAAGAGGAGGTAGTTTTGAAGCAAACTACAGGTATTCAAGTAGCATCTGAGACAAATAGGTGCTTCGTCAACATGGGGGAACTTCTTAAGAATATAATGCTCTGGGGAATCTCAAGCAAACAAGGGAATACTGAAATGTCTAAATGCATAAGTAGTGTTAACACTTGCAAAGTACCCTTTTAGATACACACCAATGTCTTACATAGTACATTACAATTAATATTACTTACAGTGTATTTTCTAATAACTCCATTGAGTTCTGCTGGTGGATTCCAGGTTACTGTGCATATATCATTCTCAATCTTATCCTTCTTTTGATATACTGCCTCTACATCTGTTGGGGCTGAAGGAGCTGGAGGAGTAAGAAAATTTTTTTTTTAAATTATTATTTTTTAAAGATGGCAGAACAGATGATATACAACTGATAAAAATGAGTTGCATAACAACAGGAGCAGTTGATATTGCTGGTGTGTACTAATTCTAAGCTATAGTTCTAAGATCTCCTTAATTAAATGGGCCTAATTACATTCATTAGGCCAGCATTATTTTTCTAGCCTAGGATCTCCATACATATATGCTCTGACATATTTGTGATAGTACATATGAATAAAAACTTTCTATTAACAAGCCTGTACTTTTAAGTTCTATAGCATTTATATGATCCTTAGGAGAAATGGTCAAATGTATCACACACTTCTCACAAACACTGTATATTCTAGATCTTTTTTTTTCCCAAAGGCATTAGTATTGCCAATGAATGTTTTTTTTTTTTTCAATAGGTATCAATCAATTCTTGTTATCTAAGTGTTTTGTCTAATTTTGTTAAACAATGAAGCAAGAAGCATTTCACTATGTCAGCAATGGTAAATTATAATGTGAAATAAGTGAATGAATTAATGAATTAAAGTAGTTAGGCTACTGAAAGTAAGTTACTGTAGTAACACAGCAATTGTCATACAAACTTATATTTCTGATAAACTATACATGAATGTTGATATGAATTTATTTCTTCCACAATGTATTATTACTGTGCTATATATTTTAAATATTAGTTCGAGTTATTATTCTCAAAGGCAAGATAGGACACAAGGGCTGATAATCTTAAACATGTCTCATTATGGGCTTTCCTACTTGTATATGTAGTCATACTTGTATCCCCACATGGTTAAGCCTGGGCTACCTTCTTCGATCATATATTTTGTCTCTAAGAGGGCTTCAAGAGACATAATGTGAATTAGGCAGTAAACACACAGGCCAAATAAAACCATGAACAGTTAGTTGAAAAGAATAGCTAAGAAAGAAAAATAAAATGCAAATAAATGAAAGATAATAAATCATGCTATGGCAATGGGAAAATTATAAAAACAGAAAGTTTTTTACTAATTATAATTGTAGGTATTTTTTTTTAATTCTTAAGATTCGTAAAAATATATAACATAGCAGAACTAAAAACAAAACAAATAAAATTATTTGAAACATACCAATTCCTGATCTGATGTTAGTAAGATTTTAAAAAAGCAGATGTAATGCAGAAAAACTGCTTAGCTGTGTTTGCTTTCCATGTAGGTTTCTTGTGATAATATGTCCAATGTTTAATATCATGAAATCAGGCATCGATGCAAGAAGTAAATGGGGTGGGATATTAAATGCAAAGGTTAGTCAACTACAAAATTGCAAACATTATTAACCAGTTAAGCTTAGATGCAACGTTATACAAACATTTGTTCTTTTTTTCAGTTTTTCCAGCACTTTTTGAGAAAACTTTGTTTAATTTATCTCACTCATCTTCTTACTCTCCATTTCTACAACCTTTCTACCCATCTTCTATTTTTGCAGTCCTCCTACTCATTCTCTATCGCCACAGTCCTCTGTTTTCAAAATCTTGCTACTCATCCCCTATATTCACAGTCTCCCTACAGAGATTCAGTCGTAGAAAACTAAGGAGGCTGGGTGATAACAGTGTACTTAATTAGAGTGGAGTATAAGGATGGACAAGAAATTATCTGGGTTAAAACTTCAAGGCTGGGTGTGGCCCCACCAACCATAACAGCATCCCTACTTCTACTCATCCTCTATTTTCACCATCCTCCTACTCATCCTCTATTTCACAGTCCTACTCATCCTGTATTTCACAGTCCTACTCATCCTGTATTTTCACAATCTTCCTACTGATCCTCTATTTCCACAATGCCATTTTTAAAAACATTTCCATCATTAAATTAATTATATATTTTATTTTACCTCCCATATTTTATATTCCAGTGTTAAAGTAACTTTTAAAATAAGTGCAATATTTCTACCTCTCCAATCACATCTAATTGATTCATATAAATGCTTGCAAATACACCACTGTTTTAACATTTCCAACCATGCCCCACCCACACACAGACTGTGCATAGTGGCTTTTGTATAGCCTTTTCACACCAACTCTCAGTCATTGCTTAGTTTTCCAACAATCAAGTCTCACTTTCAATTCATACCAGTATTTCCCTGTTTGGACACCGCCGATTGAAGCAACTCAATCGAAAAAACAAATTATATCCACATGGTGTACTGCAAGCATTTAATATATTATTACTTTGCCAAGCAGACCTTCAAACAATATCTTAATTAAGTTCTATGCACCGTTATATGATGAGCAGTGTGGGTTAATTTCATGCTAATAATGATACATAATTGATGATTGATAAAACTACTTATTGATTGTTACCAGTGTAAGAATATTACAAAATGTGGGCATAAACATGCACAATCATATACCCCTTTTACACTGCAAGAAAAACTCCGGACACAACCCAGGATTTTGCAACAAAAACTCCCGAGTTGTTGGTGTAAACGTCAAAAAATGTCACCCGGCTTGCTAAACATCCCGGATCAATGTCCGGGACGCATTCAGCATTGGACAACCCGGGTGCATTCTGGAGTTGCCAGCACTGAATTTGATTCCGGAATTAGGCCTTACCTGGCGCCTACCGCAGCCGTGGTCAAATAGGCATAAACTTTGCTTGGAACAGGCTAGGCCTAATCACTTTTCAAAATTAACCCTCTGCGCTCCGGTGTAGACTTGATATCAAAACTTTTAATTTATTTTGCATAATTTAAAACAATCTACAGATACATTGTTTCAATATTGACAATTGCAGCTTCGTGAGGACGAAGAACTCGAGCGAAGTGATGATCACCATCGCAAAAAAATTGAGGGCGGTATTTAAACCCAAGTTCGTTGCCGGTATAAAATGGGAGCAATTCAAGATTAACCCGGACTTTTCCGTTTGGATCGCTCCGGAATTAACACGTTTATTCTGCCCTTGGCAGTGTAAAAGGGGTAATAAGTTGTGAAATGATGATTCTGGCTCTAGCATCGCCTGAATGCATTACCAACTTTCTTTCATAATTTAACTGTATTATTACACCCAAATATGGCTACCATGAATATTGTTAATGAATGCTGTCATAATCTACTCCATCATAATCAATATTATCAAAATTATTACTTATTCTAAAATAAAGGTCTCCCATTAATTAATGAATTAAAAACCACCTCATATCATATTAAAGACCACCTCAAATTAAAAAAAAGACCACTTTTCTGTGGTCCTACAAATGTCTTTTATCCTTATTATTCTAATAAGAGACCAGGAGGGGCACCTGTAAATAAAAATAGCAATAAGTTGCTTTTATTTTCATTCTACAACTACTGAGATAGCTGCTGAGTGTACTTACCGGCTTCATCAGTTCGTTTGGAAGTTGTTTCTTTATCACTTTCTCCTATAGCATTAGTACAGAATACCTGTATATAATAATCGGTGTAAGGCTTGAGGTCTGTTATTGTGTGAGAATTCTCCTTTTCAGCCACTATAGTTTTAAGCATGCTTTCACTTTCCTCCCTGTATTGAACAGTGCATGTTTGAATTGGACTATTCCTTTCATTTCCTCGGGTCCATGTAACAATGATTGTTTTGTCTGTTGATGTTACATCATTGATTGTTACAGGGTCTGGTTTTTCTGAAGAAAAAAAATCATCAGTCATTTTTTTATATTTGCATTAATATAAAATAACATAATACATAATTTTTTTTATTTATTTCAATATTTCAGGATAAAGAAAAACAACAGAAATCACTCCAAGAATAGGCACAGGTGTTAAACACTATCAAGTTTAGTAGCTTAAAAAAATTAATACAATACATATACAGAAATTATTAAATTAATTACTTACAATTTATTCAACTATTAATTCTAACTACAAAAATATAATTTACTAGCAATTCCTTAAATTCCAGTTAATTATCAATTACAACATATTATACAGATTAATTATTTTACCTAACTACTGTACAAATATATAATTTAATAGATTTGTTGAGGGGACAAATGTTTTCCTAAGCATGAACAAAATGTAAAATTAGACTGAAATTTGATTTTTTTTTTGTTCCACACAAAAAATAAATGCGGATGAATTTTTCATGTTTGCGATCTACAGTCTCTGAATTTGCCTAGAAACAAAGAATTCGTTGAGAAAAGGGTAATATTCTATGAGAAATAGTGTGTATTTCTCATTTTTTTATTCTTTTGCGTCAAACTAAAATCTATGCCAATATTTTTCCATGATTTATAAAAATTGGAGTAATGCATATGCACCTTTCCTAAAAAAAAAAAATCTGTTTTTAGTGAAATTTTGCCAGGAATGGATCTTTAAATGCAATAAAATGAATATAAAGCACACAGAATGTTATTTTGTCGTCAATGAAACTGTAAAGTAACATATATTCACATTAAATGCATTAATGACACATAATAACATATTCAATTCATAAAACAATCGATACACTGAATAAAAAAGAAGTCCTAAAAGAAAATAAAAAGACCAGTAAAACATCATGATTATACCGATAGTTCTAGGAAGGCCCTAATTAAATACATCACCTTTTAGGGTTCGGTAAAAAATATCTCTCTGTATTTTATTTATATAGTCCACGACAATATCATGTTTGATTTGCTTAAGCAAAGGTTAGAATCAGCAATCTTACTTTTAAAGACTGAATATTTTACCACTAATATAATAGAATTAATGGCAGAGGATCTGAGTGTCTGTTTAATGTTGTGAATAAATCCAAGTCCTGGGTATGATTTTATGGAGTACTTTTACAAATACTCTGAAAAAATGAAATAAATATTTGGATTTGAATTAGGTATGCAATTATAAAAAACTGCTTTTTGAAGATAAAACCTGGCTAAATTTCGTGGGGCTGGGCTTATTCCAGAGGGACTACAGTATATAAAATAGAGATGTGTACCACCCATGGATATAATGTAACTTCTGACCTTAGATGAATATTTTAAAATCGTCAACAAGTTCATCAACCTTATTAACTACGTACATTGTTGTTCACATTACATTTATATTCACTGTTGTTACTCACATTACATATATATAAAACAAAATATAACCTATATACTAACCTAGAACAGTTATACTGAAGGATGCAACACCTTCTTTAACCTCATTAACTAGTTCGTTCTCAGCTTGGCATTCGTAACTACCATTGTCACTTCTTGAAATATTATATACAACCAGTGTACTATTTGTTGTAAAGATCATGCTTTCTTTATTTTCATTTTCAGAAATTGTGTACTTTGTTCCCACCAGTCTATTGGAGTTTCTGATCCAGGTGATATCAACTTCAGGATTCCCCTCTGCTGAGCAGTTAAACGTTAAATTATCTTGCAGTCTGCCTTGGGCGCTTTGCGGTCTTGTTACAAATTGAGCAGGGACTGGTAGAAAAAAAGAAAATTCATATGCATTAGTATTACTTTATATACGATAAGACGACTTTTATTTCCATCAAAATTCAATAAAAACAACATTATGATAATAAATGAGATATGGATAGAGGAGATACAATAAAAAGCAAACAGCCTGTAAAATGTTGTATCACCTTGACATAAAAATAGTTAAGCAAATTTATAACACGAACAAAGACAAACTCATACCCAACCAGGATGGAAACATAAAAGCATGAAGTAAAACAATTGGGAAAAATGCATAAAAAGAGATTTAGAAAGCAATGCAGGTAATGAATTTGTTTTTACAGTGAAGTGGTACAAATACATATTGTGAATACATACTGTATCGTACACATTTGAAACAGGTCATGTGAGATTGATTTAAATGACTATTCCATGGTTATTTGAATATTAGTCAACAAACGTTGAATAGTACTTTTCATCTCCAGGATGACAAAAATCTGAAACGCAACACGACGCAAGCGAGAAAATTTAGCCTAGCATAGTCACAACCTGCACGTCAACAGGAGTTAATCATTCAGTACTTCTCGCGCTCCGCCAATAAAATGGCTGGTCCATTTATTACTGGTTCATTTGTACTCTGACCAAAGAAGGGTTTGGGGAATTACTGAACGAAATTGATGCCGAATAAAAAAAAAAGGCAATAAAATAACTATGCAGTAACTCACAAAAACACTGTGACTGCAGAGTAAAGAAGATATGATGAAGATTTTGCTGTCCTGAGATACAGCAGCCTAGGCTAGGCCTACTACATCCCAGGGCCTACAGGGCAAGGTTGACTTATATATTGATATAATGGAGAGAGATACAGAAGTGTATAAAACAAATAATGAATGTTTCTCATTTGTACAATGGCATATTTCATGAAGTGAAAGACTGGATGTTCTATTCAATGAGGTGTAACATCCAATCTTTCACATTATGAAATATTCTACCCCATTGTACTTATAAGCATTCACTATTTGTATATTATATTTTATAATTATTTATTATTTTATTTTTATATTGTTTTAATTATATTTTCATATTTTAAAGGCATATAAAAAAAACCCAGATATAGCAAGCTGGAAAATCTGACCAAGAATTAAAAGCACTCCCCTCAAATCCACCTTTGCCAGGATTCGAACCAGGCACTTCTTCGATCATATATCACAAACACCATAGCCACCATAAAAATTGTGTAGTAAATGAAAGTGGCTGTATTAATTGAAAGTTTATATGTTGATTGATATAGCACTGTTTGCCAGTGATGGCGCCAGGACCTGCCCGACGGAGGGGCTACAGGCCCCGACGGAGGGGCTAGTGAAGCGAATCGAGTTTCACTTGGCTGGGGGCCAGGGGGGGCCGCCCAGGTTCCCCCCCCCAGCGCCACCACTGCTGTTTGCTAGTATTTCTATAATAAAGAGCTTTCAATTGCCAGCAAAGGAAGACCTAGAACAAATTTATCTGCAGACGCAATGACATTGAATTCTTGTTATTTTCAAATACATAGCATGCGTTTTGGACAGAGTCGGTGTTAGCAGATAATGATTGATGGTTACACACATATTCTAGGTTCACACCATTATCCAATAAAAAGCTCCCTACTAAATCTATAGTGTGACAGCCTACAGTCAGTTTTTACTTCATGTATGATGATAAATACTGTAATGATGGTTCATATACACATTTTTACCTTTAATGTGAAGTTTACAGATTTTATATAATTTGAAAACAGATTTTTAATAGCCAAGTACATAATATTACATTTTTTAAATTACAAATTTTGTGCGTGTTCATTACTTAGACGCTGTAAACTAAATTGGAGATGACGTACCTGGTGATTGTAATACATAGGATTGGGATGGTTCTAGAGAAGTTCTTTGCATTATTACTATGTTTGTATTTGTATAAAAATAATATTGAATGGCCCAGGTAGGCAAAGAAGAAGTAGTAATTGTAGACCAACTAGTGAAGAAGACAATGAACCTTAGAGAATGATGAAACACCGAGAAATACATGCATAATGACTGTGTACTTTACCCAGCAGTACTGTAAGTTGAACGAATAGGCCTACTAGGCAGGCCTACTCAAAGTTTGTGAACTGATAACAACAGAAGAAAATGTGTATTCTGCCATGAGTTTCTTGGATAACAGGCTACCTTTATTAAATTCATTTGATGCAGACACGTAATTAATGGCAGTAAGTTTATTAGTTTTGGAACACAGAGTGTTTGGTCTTTCAGGCCTAGACCAGGCACCAAAGTTTTAGGCCCACCAGTAGTGTGTGATGCTGCTGCACTTTACTCTTCTGTAAAAGTTTCATTAAATATCATTCTGGGAACACTTGGTTCGAACAAATATGGTCTTGGTAATGATATAAGTAGACCTTTATACTCTACACATCATTTTATACAAATGCAAAGAGAAATACAGTACATTGATACATCCACATTTGGCGGCAGGGCCTTATACAGTTTATTGCATATGAATTTGCACTATTCATGATGGACGTATGAAACCTGATCCTGATTGTTTTTATCGTTTCTTTCATCGATTTGTCGTCTTCTTTAATTACTTACACAAGAGAGTTATATTAATATTAGAGATTCATGTAGTACCTCTATTTTGACTGGTCTTTTGGAAAGCAGTGATGCATCTTTCTACATAACTCCCACTTTCGCTAGGCTTACTCAGGAAACAAATCGGCAGGTAGTATGACGTCGCCGAGCGGTAAAAGACACAGCCTCAAAACAGGATCTGCTTACCGTACGGACAAAACATAATGTATTTTGGCCAATCTTTGCAGCATAAGGAATAAGTTTGATGAGTTTGAATTTTTAATAGCAGGATCTAATAACCGACCCGAATTTATTTTCTTCAATAAATCATGAACGACACTGCATTATATCAACTTGATGATGGATATACTTGCGTTCGTTTTGATTGATCCTACTCAAGGAGAAGAATAATCATTATCTTAATCACAAATTGCTATCCATAAACTTATCCATATATTCCGTCTTCATCCAAAACTTATCGAATGGATTGACCATTGGCTTTCAAACTGCATTCAACAAACGATTTTCAAAGGCTCCCTTATCAACTGTATTAATTGCACTTTCTCTCTTTATACAGAAGACCTTGTGATAGTTACCCACTTTAAAAACCCTCTCTCAACCTTCTTCCCATTATTACATCTTTCCCTTCAATCCTGGTCTCTTGAAAACGGTCTTAAGTTTGCCCCTCACAAATGCAAGGTCTTAAATATGTGGTTTGGCAAATCTTAACTCAATCTACTCCAAATTTATCTCTACGAATCCCAAACTGAATCTGTAGAACAACTTTGCTACCTTGGAATTATTATCTCTTGCGACTTAAAATATGGCATTCCCAAATCATCACTCTTTACAAGTCTTCTATTCGTAAATTGTCCATCCTCAAATACCTCAAACACTCTTTTGATTGTCAATCATTTACCCTTTATTCAAATCTCAAAAGTGTGAAATTAACTTACTGAAACGGATCAAATATATTTTTTCTAAAACAATTTCAGACTCATCTACACATTCTGTCTTTATAACATCCTACTAGCGATCTCTTGTCACATCTCTCGTTTTGAAACATTATTCCTTCCTTATTCCCTTTCCTTTGCATATTCTCTCTCTATTTACCCTTCCCTAATCTCCCCTTCCCTTATAAAGCAAGCTCTCAACATGTAGGCCAACACCAAGTCTCCTTTTCAGTGTCCTTCAAACCGATCTTGTCATTGAATTTTGTCATGTAATTTGTATTGCTATGTATTATGTCACGTTTGTTAGCAGATAATGGCCCTTGATTGCATATTGAAGCAATAAAGAATTGAATTGAAAAACTGAATTGAATGATTAGCATATTTCCTACATGAATTCTTTGTTGTTCAATCAGCTAGAATGGGCCTATAGAAGAGCCAGTAGACTTTATGTTGGAGATTAAGATCATGTCTTTTTCGTCTATCAGTAAGAATGGATAAATTTCTTGTTACTTTTTGTTTTAAAGTGTTGGTTGGCATCTTGGACTACAGCATGGTCTTTGCCTAAAAATCAATCCTAGGCACACTTATCGCCTGTGCGTTTTACATCAGATATCCAGCACTCAAGCTTTATTCCACTTAGTCGCCATTAGGCTGCCTCGAGATTGAGACAAGCTTCCAAGACCTTCAGTTAATGCTGCAGTCCTGGAGAGCCAATCCTCCTTTCTTTGAAAGGTTCAACTCATTTTAAAAACTTTGTTTTGTGATTTTTATTTTTTTGAATTTTATTCTTGTATCTGTGATTGGGGATGTGACAACCAGCACGGCTACAGTGATTCAGTTCACTTTGGTTGGCCCTGGTCTCCCCAATTTTTGTGTTAGATAATAAATAATGAAATGACATTTCCTACAGGAGTTCTTCGTAGTATTGGCCATATTTGACTGGTTATTCTTCTAACCACGCCCATATGCGCAGTGGTAAAATCCTACTTAACTGTTAAATACTCAACAAAACAAAATGGCTGCATAGTTACAGCAATACACGCTACGTAATCAAAGTTGCTTCAGATTGTGGCAGTATGGGTTTTTCATAAAAAAAATGTTTTCATCCAGTTTTTGAATTCTGTTAGCCTGCAATTATTTTTTGACTTCAATGTGGGTATATATTATAATTTTTATTTTCTGAAATTGAATCTAAATTATATTAATGCAAATGTGGATAACGCTGATTAACGCACTCTGGTTTACGTTAACTTTTGTTGTCAACGAAGTCTATTTCACGAACCAGTTGAAAGAAAATAATACTCAACGAAATAAACCAGTCGAATATGCCCAATATGCTCATTTTTTTTTAAATGATATAAAATGGATCCTGTACTGTAGACAAAGAAGAATTAATCATAGGCCTGGTTGAACAAGATATCTACTGTCACAATTACCTAAACCATGTTGTTTGACCCAGAATCAGTTGTTGTGTTAAACTGAACGGCAACGAAATATGGACTCTGTATGTACTGGTGCGTGAAAACTTGGGTGCATAGGCAGTAGGCCTAGGCTACAGGGCAATTAACACAGGTTCCTTAAACTTATAAAATTACTGTGGCCCAGTATTGCATATGAATGATTAGGATATTTCCTATTCTTTGTATTATTTTCCTTTTTTTTTTTTTATTTGATGGCTCCTGTAGACAAAGAAGAATTATACTAGGCCTGGTTGAAAAAGGCATATCTATGTATCATTACCAAGACCGTATTGTTCCACTTAGAATCAGCTGTGTTAAATTGAATATTGAAGAAACGTGGGTTATGTAACGCACTGCACTGGTGCATGGACACTTCTTAGGTGCATAGGCAGTAGGCTTAGAAAAAGATATAATACGGGTTCCTAAACTTATAAAATTACTGTCGCAACATTAAGAGTCCGCATTAAATAAATTCATCTTATAAAGGTAAGCCTATTTTCAAAGAAAGCTATGACAGCATACCCATTTTTCCATAGTTTTTATCGGCTCACAAACTTCTAGCCTAGCCTAATCATTTAATCTACCGGCGGCAGGCTAAATTGTACAGCCATTATGCATATATTTATTGTTTTTTGCTTCACTCTCTGACGTTTAGTGTCTTATTCATATAGGTCTACAATATTTCTTTACCTACCAAAGTACTTACAGGTAAAAAAAAAGTTTTTTCAGGGGAATAGAACTTTCTACTGCCCGCTTCTTAACCAATCAGATACCTATAGTCTATATATGAGGTATGTAATATTTTATACGAATACAATAATAGTAATAATAAAAAGAACTTGTCTAAAATCATCCTAATTCCATACATTAGGGAACATAGAAAAAATTATTAAATTATCAATCTTTTTTTTTTTTTTTTTAAGTGATGAGGGTGTTTTTCTTTGATCGGAACAATAAAATATTTTTTTTTTTTTTAAATAGATAAGGGAGGGACTGTTTTTATTTGGCAAAAAACATTGTAAATATTGTGTAAAAACTGGTTGAATTTTATTGTTTTTTTTTAATGAAAATGTATTTCCAGTCACAATATTGCATTGTGTTTTATAAATATATGATGCGGCAAATTTGTTTTATTTTTTATTCCTGCATCAATATTTCCCAAATTTTGGATGGCGGCAGAAGTGATAATATAACAATTATTTTTATTTGCCCTTACAATGGCCTGTCGATAAGCTTAGATAGAGGGATGCACCTGGCATGTCACAAAAATTTAGTTTACACAATTAAAAAATGGGTATGAGTATACTGAATCAGTTCTCAAATTATAAAAAATCAATAAACTTCTGCTTTAATCATAATAATTGATGTAAATAAACTAAATAAAAATATTCATAAAATGTATGAAAGTTTGCATTTACTTACCTTCAACACTAACAAAAACAGACTCAGAAACAGATGTTCTTATGTCAGTATATACCTGTTGAGTAAGAGTACAGTTGTATGTACCAATGTCACTAAAGTCCACACTATGTATGGTGTAAGTTGCATTTCCAGTGGTTTCTCCTGTAAAACTCATCACTTTTACTCCATCCTTGCTCCAGTACCCAATAATATTCAGTAAATTGTATTTGCATACAAGCTCAACATTTTCTCCCCTATGCTGTGTTACATTGCCATCACGTACAGAGAGACCTGTAGCAGTGATATTGGGATACAAATCCCCTAGAATAAAGAAAAACTAATACGTATGAATTTTTTTTTCATCCAAAAGAACATTCAAGTGTAATCGCAGTGTACAAACACAGAGACATATGTGATATGTGCTATAAATGTGTATTTTACCACTGACCATTATCTATTATACAAATGACTGCTCATGAGGGGAACGGTGAAATCTATTGCACCGAGGTGATGTGAAGACCGTAGAGATAGTGGGCTACAGCCTTCAAATCACAAAAGAGCTATAGATTTCAGCATTCCCTAATCTAGAGCAATCAATATTCATTTAATATACTTCATATACTGATAATACAAGTCCTAAAAAAAGTACTGAAAAGAGTAACCACCAACAATTAGGTTTACTTTTCCTCAAGAATTTATGTACTGACCATTATCTATTATACAAATGACTGTTCATGAGGGGAACGGTGAAATCTATTGCACCGAGGTGATGTGAAGACCGTACAGATAGTGGGCTACAGCCTCCACATCACCGAAGAGCTACAGATTTCACCGTTCCAGAACCTAGAGCAGTAAATATTCGTTTAATATACCTCATACACTGATAATACAAGTTCTATAAAAAAGTAATGAAAGGAGTAACCACAAAGTAGGTTTAGGCCTACTTCCTAGGCCTAGGCGGTCAAAGGGCCAATCTCTCTCGTGGAGGTTGCAGCCCCCTTTACCATCCATGCTTGTCATAAATTCACATTGCGATAGGAAAAAAAGTTCAACCTAGGGGTACAGTACACCATTGGAGTGATGATTGAAGTTATTACCCGCTTTTTAAACAATCAGATGTCTGGAATCTATGTATGCGGTACATAATCATTGATAGTCATTTCAATTTATGAAGATTCCTTTTTTTCGTTTCATTGTGTTTAACTTTCATTAGTATAGTTTGCTGTAGTTTAAGTTTAGTTCCGGGGCCACCTTACAGACTTATGCCTCCTTGGTTTCCAGTACTTGCTAGGAATTCAAGTGAAATAAAGTGATTGATTCAACATGATTTTATTTGTGAAATATACATACTGTCTCTATTCAGTTTCATTTTCAGTTCTGTTTGGGTTTTGTTAAGTTAAGATAGACAACTACTATAAAAATTACCAAAGAGTAGAATATAATAGACAGGCAGACCATTGCTAATTGTGAAAGGTATATAGTGCACATAGGTGTAGGAATATTGATTTAGTACAGAGGGTTAAAGTCATGTTAAATACTTACTGTAATTACACTCGAACCCATAGTCTTTTTGATCATCACATCCTGGACAATCTCCAGTAGTTTCTTCGCAAAGACTATTGTCCACACATGTGCAGTTCATACAAAATTCTCCAAAAGTACCTTTTACACAATCTGAAACATCATATTAAAATTAAATAACAATGCTATACGAAAAACAATATTTAGACTGGAAGATATTTAATATTGTACGTAAATAGAAAGGATAAATTAAAATGGTAAACCCGAAAATGTGAAAGGGCAGATCACCAGATATTTTAAAGAATAAAAGAAAACGTAAATATATAATACAACATTCTTTGTGACCAATGTGCCCTGTGTTAATACAAATTTACAAATGTTGTATTATACCTTATGTGGTTGTATGTAATTACTTTTTGGAAAAAGGTGATAAAACATACTGTAAATGGCAGTAATTCCTAGATATGCAAGATTTGTGAAAATAAATTCAAATCCGTCTTCAAATGATATAGAGTATCATTTTTTTGTAATATGTAACACCATACCTTTTGTACATATTACTACAGTTTGTGAATGATGGATATTAAAAAATAAGTTTACATAAAATAATATTATGCTTTCAAAAGTTAGAAACTAAAATCAATTTGATCAATGAGATACCTGGATAAGTTTGATGCTCTTTGTTTCAGGAAATTTCATAGGAGTGATGTTTTGCCCTACCTGACATGTTATTGTACTGAATACTATGTTCCCAAAGATACGGGTAGGAATCAAAACCACGATTTCCAAATAATTAGCCAGGTGTCATAACCACTAGTCGGCCGAGCTTGCGATTAGTGGCTAGCGTTGAATCTGATCACCATTAAGTATTTGGGAATGTACTCAGGTAGGGCAAAACATCACTCCCATACCTGGATAAATCGACATGCCTGTGAATATTTGCAGCTCAGTTAAGTAGTTACAAAAACAGACTCTACATTCTACTTAAGAGTTCATTTAGAAAGTGGTTGTCTCATGACCTAGTAACATAATTTTTGGTAGGTTCACAATTAATTATTTCATTTGTTATTATCTGTTTAAATGTAGCCTTATGTACTGTACCTAGTACACTTTGCTGACAAATAAAGCATGCTGTATGCATGAGTTTAATGATAGGTCATTACACAGCCGCTCTAACAAATTAGTGGTTTCCCTAGCATAAAAATGTGACAAGAAAGGACAACTACATGAAGTTCTATTAACTTTTCTATATTTTGCTCAGTTGGAAAGTAAAACCCAAATGTGTTTTTGTTAATTTAGCTTCTGAAATAATATCATGCAAAAATTTCCACATAAAAACAAAATCAATTACTTAGGGATGATGTAACTGAAATGCTGGAAATATTTTAAAGCAAAAATGAACAAAATTAATCATTTCAATTCTAAATGACTTTTTAAAGAAAGTGAATAACCAAGCAATTCTAAATTATCAAGGTAAAAAACCTGTTAGCAAATTACTTCAATTCATAATTGAAAACATTAATACCTTGAAGTTCTGAGGAGTTAAAAAAAACAACAAAAAAACAAAAAACAAAAATGAGAAAAACCAGTATTTACAAAAATAGTATTATAATTATGGATTCAACCATTAATGATTTATAAAAATAATCTTTTACATTTAAACAATTTATACCAGAACATGGAGAGCAAAACATTTAAGTATACAAGCCACGACCTCAAGGTCAAAGCTTAAAACACAATCGCTGCCACAAATTCATTATAACCAAATTTTATTTACTTATTTTGATCTGGTTCGAAATTTAGCAATTATAATAATACAGCATTAACAGCTGTGAAGATTATTTTAAATAACATAACATATATTTAAAACAGCAACATCAAGGACAGTTCAAAAAACTTGTTTTTAGTAGGGTCCTTCTTATGGTGATAGGGCAGTAAACCAGAATACAATCCTCTACTGCTTTTGGAGGAGTGTACTGTATTCTTTAGCATGCATATGGCCTATACTGCACACAGGACCAACAGCCTAAACATCATTTCTAAAGAGAGTGACTTTTGTTATGCTTGAAATAAAAGCTTTGGATTTCACATTTCTGGGGCCCTGTGTTTTGCCACTAAATTTTTGAAATGTCAATACATTTTAATGTTATGTGCTACTCACTTATCTATTCTAAAACTGTTGTTCCCCACCCCACACGTTGAAAAATTCTGGATCTGCCCTTCATTAAACTGGCAACAATTTCTCACAAGGACTATTCAGGAAAGACACTCATCTACAAAGACATTATCAAAGACGACTTCCCATAACATTCAACAATATACATCGCCACCTTTCCCCACCCATCCAACACCGTGCAGAGCACGGGTATATGCTAGTGATAGTAATTAGAATAAATATAGTAGATGTGTCTCTAGTGATGTATCTAGGGAGTGCGCTTGCTCCCCCACTACTCGTGCTCTTCCAGCCGCCCCCCCCCAAAAAAAATCACGCTTAAAAGTAGTTAAAAATCACCTCAAATCACCATCTTTTGCGAGCTAGCTCCCCTCACCTAATCATTGATTCCCAATTTCACCTTCGCTCACCCATTAGCCCCCTACCCCCACAATTTCAAGGCTCCTAAATATGCCACTGTGTGTCTCTATACCAAAGCAATATTTACATAAATAATAATTAATGTACCTATTAGTATGACATTAAATGAACAGTTTCCTATATTGCCAGCAGCATCAGATGCATTACAGGTTACCAAAGTTGAATCCATTGAAAACATACTTCCACTATTTGGAGTACAGACTGGACCCGACACAACTCCAACATTGTCTGTAACACGTGGCTTTGTATAATTTACTACTGCTTCACCATCATCATTAAACAACAGTATAAATGTTTGATCCACACAATTTTCGAATTTTGGCGGCTCTGGATCTGGTAAAAAAAATAACCAGTAAAAATTTTAAAACAAAATGGAAGTATTAAAGTATTATGAGCAGTTGGCCGAGAGGTATTGTTCCTGCTTCTTGTGCTGAAGACCCTGGTTCAAACTGACCAGCATTAGATTTTAGTTGGAGTCTGATCACTTGTCTCCTCTAATAACCCTCACATGGAAGCATTAGGCGGGTTAAGGAAAATGTTTGTATCCGTACATTTTGTAGTTAAGTTGTGTGACGCTGCACTGCAGCTGCTGCAGGTTCTCAGGGACCCAGCTTAAATTTCCGATTTCCAATCGAATGAGGACAAATAAAGAATTTTTATTATCATCATTATTATTACTACAAAAATAACATAAAAATTATAATATTTTATATACTGTATTACATTTGTCATTGTCACTATTCTAATCATCCCTGCTGTCTGTGATAACCATCATTTTTCGTTTTAATTACTCAGACAGACATTTTATGTTATAACATAATATTCTTTATTATTTTCACTATTACCCTTAATAGATGCTTACTAATATTAATGGATTATTTTTAGTAGCATCTAGATTATTTTTAACTTATTATTTTTATTATTATTTTTTATTACAGTAACAATACAAAATATCAAATATTTATGTATATGAAAAATAATTTTAAGAAACATAATCTGCCACAGCCCAGGAGAGAACTAATAGCCAAAGCAAATAGCGAAGGTCTTCAAAAAACACCGTGCTTGTTTGGCTGTTTCAGTTCTTTTTGTAAATTAGATATTTTTATTTTTCTGAATTTGTAATCTGAATATTTAATTCTCTACTAAAGTCTCTTGTTTTGACTTTAATCTGTAATAGTTTTTGACTATATAACTTGAATAAATCAAAATTAAATAAAATCAAATTACAACCCAATTCATTAAAATTTGACTAACATTACTTTAATGCTAACCAGGATGGCAGTTTGGCTAAATTTGTAAAATGTATTTCACCGATCAACCATTAACACACAATGGCTCCATTACTATGAATGCTTTTTGCCTAGATTTGCATATTTATTGTCTTGTTTATAATTTAATAATTATATAGTAGCTAGGCTTCAATCATCAAACACATTCCAAGAGTCTAAGAAGTGATGTCACTGAAAAAGGTAACTTACAATAACTCACCGTAAACAGTTACTTCAAAACTGCAGCTTTCAGCATTACCACTGTTATCAGTGGCTGTGCAGGTGATACTTGTTGGGCCATTGAGATAAAAAGTATCGGTATTTGGTACACAATTAGGAACGACAACATCTACATTATCAGTTGCGCTCACTTGCTCGTTAATGTCATAAGTGGTAAAATTTTCACCTTGATCTGTTGGTCGTTCAACGCTTTGAGGACAATTTAGTTTTGGCTTTTCGTTGTCTAAAAATTGAACATAAGACGAATTATTATTACTCAATCTGATTAGGATAGGAATATATGGCAGTAAGTCAAATAAATAAAAATAACATAAAATACTTTATTAAATAATTAATAACTAACGTTAGAACACTTTATGCACCAAGATAGATTTGATAAGACCAAGATTAGATTGATCAGAATCACTACTACTGTATAGGTGCCTTGATAATCTGGAGAGTTCTGAATGATCATGGTTCTGGCACATATATTTCCAAGCTCACACTATTTATTTACTATGGTCATAATTGCATGCCTTACTTCACCCAAGGCAATTCTACAACAGGACACACAACTCAGGAAATGGCAGGTTATAACTCTGCCATCGACATTCTACGCGTTGTGCGTATCTATATGCTTGACTGAGTTTAAAATGCCTTGATAACAAAAAAAAAACCACAGAAACCCAATCAAAACTAGAAATGCTCCTTCACTTCCACACCCACCTTAGCCCCACCATGTCAGTCTTAAACTAATAAGACTTAATTTTAACCTCCTTGGACTTATCAAACCAATCAAACTTACCAAACATTAGTTATCATGATAACTAGCCTAAATTACCTGATTAGTGAAATATTAATGTTGCAAATGAGCAATTAGAATATTTACACATGTACCAAAAACAACATGGCTTCGTCTTCTTATTCCCATCTTGCATTCTGCCAAGTTTGAAACCAATCAAACTTATTTAACTTTAGTTATCGTGGTAACAAAAACTAACCCAACAAAAACGACAACGACGACAGCATGAAGAACGTGGGCAAAAACAATAGCCTCCCCGGAGCTTCGCTCCTTTGGGGAGGCTAATAAAATAATAACTACTCACAACTTGTATCGGATTGCCGATGCCACAGTTAAGACCACAGGACTGTATGCTTGCGCTGTGTTTGCGAGCAGAGATGTGCGTCCTGTTGTTGAATTGCCTTGTTTCCCCTATACTCTTTATATCACAAGGACCCCAACTTGGAAGAAGCCATTTTTGGGAGGTCTTTTTAAATAAGCTTTCTTAACACATCAACACATCTAATTTTATTTTGCTGTGCATTTTTTTAATCAATATATTTATTTTATAAATCTTCAGAAAAATGTTCAATAATAAAATATAGGGTTCTGCATTCTGTGATTGGCAATTATGCAGAGGACAGTGTCATATTAATATCTCCATGCTTTTATAATTAGACTTTTATTGCTATTGATGCCTGCTTATTATCTATTACATTGTACTATCAGTACGTTCTGTTCACACCAATGTAACGACTGGTGACAATATATATGCTGATACATTAACTGACATCATGCACATGCTTTCTTGTGCAAACTCTAACCTTTGACCTGAAACATAACGCTACTAATAGCTGTGTTTCTTGATAGGTCAGCTGCAGTTTAAGTGACAGTTAATGGTAGGTTTGCTGGATAGAGTCCTACATTCAGGTCACATCCAAGAGTGACATAGCCCGAGTTATCACTAACGAAGGGGTCGTGCCAAACAACTATCCCCTTATTATCCTGTAACTCGGCTGGTCACAGACAGATTTTCAGGACAGATTATCATTGGTGTTTCCCTATCTGTAAAGTAATGTATTTTGACCTTTTATATTTTATATACAGTAGCAGATTTGATCTTAAATGGTTTTATCATGATTAATTATGGGTCCGAATTAATCATTATAATGTGCTTGTTAGACCATCCAACTTTTCTATCTTTAAATTAGCCAATTGTGAAGTACAGTGCCAAGCCACAAAGTAGTAGATTTATAGAGGAAGCACCAGATGGCCTTGTTTTGACATTCACAGTCACATACAGAAATTGGGTTACAAATTTATTATTAAAGGTTTTGATATTGCTCAAGCCCTGTTTTATGAATCAGGGAACTGCTAATGCATCATTTACGGTACTACAGTGTGTGCTCACTCTAACCATGAGAATGTATTGTATAGGTATGATGTCACAACTAACTGCTGAGAAGCTAAGACACAAAACATACATTAAGTATACAGAGACTTCATAGATATACAAAAGAACATATTTTTCATAAGGAACAGACATAAGGAAAATAACTATATTATAAAAATCAGGAGAAATACCCGTAAAATGAATGTTAAGCAAAATTATATGCTATGATGCAAAAGCCATTAACAATGCTGTCAAAACAACACAATGAAAATGATAGCTTTAAGATATATGATTTGTTTATTAAATATATATAAAAATAAGAAATGGTAGAAAATACATTGAATGTAGTCAGCATAGTGATACTAACCTTCTACCGTAATAGTAAACATACAACTGCCTTCATTTCCTGCAGTATCAGTAGCCTCACATGTTACTGTCAACGGACCACCAGTTTCCACCGGACCTCCAGATGCTGGATCACAAGTGGCTTGTAGATTTCTGTCGACATTGTCTGTAACCTGTGGCGCTGGCCAAGTTACTGTAGCAAAGTTTTCGCCAGAATCTGTCGGTAGCGTTTTGTCACTGGGGCAAGTGACTACCGGCAACTCATTATCTACCAAAATATAGCATTAGATAGAGATGCTTTCACACTACATTCAATTCAAAATGTAAATTACTGTAGCAATACCAATAATTAGCATAAAAAATGTCTATTTTCTAAAAGCGATAGCAGCATATAGACGCATAATACAGATTTTATCTATTAATTAACAAGGGAAGCCATTGTTTTCCACTGAGCAGAAACTTCAAACTGTTTTAAAATGATCATGTAATATGCAAAAGCAATTAAAGAATGTTATTAAAATTCACATCAATACTAAAATTTTCATAAAAATATGAACAATTCTTTTAAAAGCAATGCAGTATATAGACACATTAAGCAAATCTTTTTAATTTTAATTTATATCAACAGAAAAATTGTTTTCCAATGAGCAAAATCTCCTAGGCCTAATACACAGTTTTGTAGCATGTGCAAAGGTATGAGGCATGACATTATTGAACTTTACATAAAAGCAGTGTTGGAATGAATCAAACTGACTTATTAAACCTCTGACATCAGATAGTCATTTGCATTTTCAAAAATGTTATTCCCATCATAAAGATATTACAAGTGCAAATTATTTGATGGTACAGTACAAACAAATAAGTTATAAGACTTAGGTTGTGAGATATAGTTATGAAAATGGCGGTAAATGATATAAAGTGACATTTCCAGCTGGATGAGAATAGTATTATAAAAAACATAAACAAATTGTAAGTTGTGGCAGTTGCAGCGCCAGTAGTAGTGACACAAAGAACAAAAATCAGAAATGTACAAGCACCAAGGAATTCCCAAAAAAAACAATCTAAACTTTAACAATAGAAAAACAAGCACATGAATTCGGCAACCGCTTCTTATAGAAAATGTATAATAGTAAAACACAAGTACAATAGAACCCATCCTCTAGGTCACCCATATTAAGGGGACATATTTTCTGGTTTTGAAGATGTTCCCTTAATAGTTTCTACTGTATTTTTTCATACATTTTGTAGTGTCAAGTGCAGATTCAACGTTAAGGGTAAAAGAATAACCCATAACTCTCAGCATCATCATGCTAAATTGCATGAGCGTGGTCTGTGACTACCTAGCAGCCACAAAGAGGTGCTTATAGTACCTACATGTTCACATCCTTCCACTACGACAGGGGCTGAAATGAACCATAGCATCAGGGTAATCCACTATTCTGAAAAATACCACTTGGCCACTCGACTCGCCTAAATTTGTACTACATAGTACAACATATCAGCATGTCACCATTCATTGTGTTTGTTTCCTTTACATACAGTATTCAACATATAGGTCCTGGTATTCAACATATTTAACCTGGGGGCCAATTTTTTTAGGCCAGCGGCGGGACGACACAAATCGTCTACTCCAATTTTTTTTATAGCGGTGAATTCAGAATAGAAGGGGTCAGGGAACAACTTTCACAGATAGGGGAAACACTACCTCAGCCCCACCATGTTTGGGGCTGAGGCATGAAAATTTATGATTATGGCACCTCTAGATGGTCAGAAATGTCACCCTTAGACTTAAATTTGAATTTAATTTTCTTTTCTTCTCCTTTCTTTCTTTTAGAATTTTGAAAAAAAAACAAAAAACTCCAGGTTCTCCTACCCTGCCACTAGAAATTTTTCTACCACAAAAATATCCACTCACCAGTTGTTGGGGTTTGAGGTGAGCACTTTTTTAACATTTTTAAACATTTCTGGAAATTGCACAGCAGTGTTTTCAACCGAATAACAGGCCCTGAGCCTGTTGGTGCAGCAAATGGTTAGACATCGCATCATATCTGTGTCCCACTTAATCCATTGTCCCGGGCCATTAGTCTACCCCTCCCCATGCCAGTACCCTACACCACTAGATAAAGTGAGCTACACTCAGAAAAAGCCACACTCTTGTAAACAATGCTAGAGTAGGGGTGACTATGTGGTGTTGTTTTAAGCAGAAAAACTTTTTCAAAAAATCGGCCCGGTTGAGCCGCCGACAAGTTAAGGCCAGTGTGCAAACATCACTTGCGCATTATCAGTGATTAATTGCTGCTATTTTCTAACATGCCCTTCTAATGTGACCATTAACATGGATCAGGGTATAATCTAAAACCTGTCAACCCTAAAACAAAATTTTCAGTTTTAACAGTTTATGAAAGTGTTTATATTACTTAAAAGAACAATTGTCTGGACATTTGAACGAAGCTGATATTTTTTTTGTGATAATATGCAAATTTTTTGTGTATCATGTGACCAAACTTAAAAAAGTACTTAGTAAAAGTGGCAAGATGGAATTATTCCAATATTTGCTGATATCTTCAGTCAGAATAATTTCTAAGATTTTAAATTAGGTTTGTTTTATAGTTAGCAATTAACAGTGCAAATTGAGGTAAAAATATGTTTTAGATGCATTTCTTAATTATTAATATTGAAGCATTTTTATAGGTCAAATTCTGTCCTGCCATCATTTGAAACCAATTTAACTTTTTTTAGACACTTTACTATGATCTGATTTTCATCACATTTTGCTATTATATGATTTTTATATGTGCAATATGATTTAGCTTTAAAAAATAATTTTGTCAAATTAAAATTAATTTTAAACCCATTTAAGTATTTTCCGTCCCGCCAGTTATTAGAATATTGTCCCACCACCCTTATGACGTACAGTACATATATATACATATATACACATTATATAAATCATCAAAGAAAGGTAAATACAGTGTTCGAATAAAGGACATAATAATACATCGTGTAGTATAGCTCTCAACGAATGCAGTCCTGTAAATAAATGAAATTGTGTAATAAAATGCCTCTGACGGGACTCAAACCTGCGACCTCTCACTGTCTGTCAAGGCGAGCGTTATAACCATTAGACCACGGAGGCTTCATGGTTAAAAAGATTCAAATACCACCAGATACACTCCATTACACAATAGGTACGGCTAGAAACAAATAGTTGCGTATAATATAAATCAAGATAGCCGTTAGCACTGTTATTATATACAGTATATAAATCATCAAAGAAAGGTATAATACATTGTTTGAATAAAGGACATAATAATACATCGTGTAACATAGCTCTCAACTAATGTAGTCCTGTAAATAATTCAATAAAGTAATTGTGTAATAAATTATTATTTATAATAAATAATTATTTAAATAACTGTACTTAATTTATACGGTATTTCGATGGATATTCGTCACCTTGTGTGAACCATCCTGAGCTCTGCTTACCAAAAATATGCAGTATTTGTGCAATATTATTAGCATTTGCATACACGAAAACACATTTGAGATGTTTTGTTGTTGTTTTTTGCTTTAGTTTTGTTTTAAATTTACATCCAGCGTTAGGCCCACTGAATCTTTAAATGCTTACATAATTGAAAACATGAATTATGTAGATTAAATTATCATACAATTTACAATAAAAATTTATAAAATTATTTTTACAACAAAATAAAATATATAACAGTTTTATTTGAAAAACAGATTTAACATAAACATAGGTTGACTTAATATGCTGAATCACTAATTAATGAATGGTATTATATATTGCTTTAAATTAATCAACAAATATCTCATTAATCACTCTATCCTAAGTAGGTCTATTGAAGTATTATTAAAGTATTATTCATTCTTTATTAAAGTATTGTCCGAGCACCTTTATTATTATTATTATTATTTTTATTATTGTTATTATTTTAATTATTATTTATCAGCCACAGTAACATTGAAAACATGAATTATGTCGATAAAATTTTCACAGAAAACAAGCTTATAATTTATAAGATTATTTTTTAAAACAGAATAAAATAGATAACCTTTTTATTTATACAACAGGTTTTGCATAGACGCAAGTTGATTTAATATGCTGATTCATTATTATCCCATTAATCAAACTATCGTAAAATTATTATTTCTATCATTTTATTTATAATTTTTTTTGCTTATGTTTTGTTTATGTATGGGCCTAGGCCTACATAATAATGTATATATTTAATAATTAGAAATAATTATAATTAATTGTAAAACATATGATATAATGTTAACAATCTAATGATAAAAACATCCATTTTGATCCATTAAACAGCAGCTTTTCAACTGTGGCAGTGGCGATAGAAAATAGGAGCTTTTTTCGCATTGCGACAATGCCGATAGAAAATATTAGTTTTTTTTCGCACTGTGGCAGTGCCAATAGAAAACAGCAGCTTTTTTGCACTGCGGCAATACCGATAGAAAACAGCAGCTTTTTCGCACTGCGCCAGTGCCGATAGAAAACAGCAGCTTTTTTTCTCACTGCGGCAGTGCCAAAGACACTGCCGATAGCTAACTGCCTACTTTTTCACGAAATAAACATAACTAGAAAAGATAATTAAAAAACATGAAACCAAACACAATTGAAAGAGTAACATTATTATTATTATTATATTGCTACTACTCTTGTACTGTCCATTACCAACTGCTTAACATTATTATTTTTAACGGAAATTTGTTCGTAGTGTAGGTGTGTTAGGATAATTGTATGAAAACTTGACTACCATAAGCCAGTCAAGGTTTGTTTGCATTGACAAAATAAACTTGAATGAAATTCAAAATGCATAAAAGACTAATAATAAATGTATGGGCTAACACAGTTTTTATGGGAAAAACAATAATTACACAGTATTTATTCAAATAAATGCCCTCCTTTTAACAAATGCGGTATATTATAATTACTGAATTATATAAATAAATTTTAGTTAAATATCTGACTGTAATGCCAAATAATATAAAAACAAAGGTATGATTAGCAAATCAACTAGGCCTATAACAAAGTTCTAGATACTGTCCTTGTTTATTACAGCATTTGTAATTGATTTAAAAGAAATACAATTAATTTTATCATGTATACCACAAAAAAAATTACACCAAATTATGCCTGCCCTTATCTTATCCAATAACAATACTGTACTTCTCATACTTTAAAGCAAAAAGAACTTGATACTCTATATGCAGATATA